GGGGGGGACTTAGTGCAGTGTGATGCCGTATCTTTGCCTTCAATAACTCTAAAACTCCCGTTATCTTCAACTTAACGCATCTCTTAGGGGGCATTTATTCGCTATAACTTTCTCTGCAATTTCAGGAGAATAGCTAGCGCTTCTTTAGAGGTCTTTACTATCAATTTCCTTCAATTTTGAGAACTTTTAAATAAGCTTAGAGCACTACGGTGGGCCATTTGTTAAAGAAATTAGGAAGGCTTTGCTTGTTTACTTACTCGATTGATTGCTGACTGCATCAGCAAGCTCTAAAATATGACTTGCCTGTAAGTCTTCTTCATTGACGCTTAAATCCTCAGACAATCTATGCACAGAAACAAAATTTAGTATTATCAACAAACTAATCAACAAACAAATCTCAGATGGATGAAAGCAGTAAGTATATAAAGAAACTGTGGCACTGCCTTGTTGGGGGTTAAAACCAGATAATTTGGCTTTCACTACTGAGTTGATAAAGTAATTTGTGATAGTAAAGAATTTTAAAGCTGACATTTCAAGCGTTGGCCATTAGTTATCGCTCTGACAAAGGGCTAACGCTCGAAACGTCAGCTTTAAAACTCTTTACTGTCACAAATTTACATTATCAACTCAGTTCATAAAACAAAATGTTAGTTGAGTTTACTTTAAAAGTTAATGCTGAAAATCCAAGAACTTTTTCGTACTGAAAAACTCTAAGCAAAAGTTGCCCTCAATATGGCTGGTTTTTACTCATAGCTGATGCTTGGGGGCGTGGTTTATGTTGTTGTCCCAGTAACTTGTGATGCCTGTATTTTGCGGTTCGTTCGGGATTTTTATTAAGTGCGATTCACTAAACACAGATGTCAAATATAGAGTACAGCTTTACACCTGAGATTCTGAGATCTTTATAACAAATTGAGATATATTAAAATTCACAAAGCAAACAGGTGGACAATCAGACATGGTTTGATGTTACTCTGGTTTAAGGAATTAATGAATGTAACTGGGGAATTTCAACCCATAGACCTTAGCAAATTGAGATGTTATTTTTCTTTTGCCTTAGAAGGGAGTCCCTAAAGAATTTTAATTATAACAGAAATTCAAACATGTTCCTGTAAAAGAATGGCGAAAAACATGCATCAAATGAAAGCAACTTCTTCAATTTCCTGACCTACTTTTTGAGTTGCCGGCTAATTCTCATTAAACGGTCACCTCATACAGAGCAGCCAGTTATCAAACTCTCAACTACATGCATTTGTAACAGTGGTATCTTTGGCTTGGAAATCCCCTCACCTCACCATGTGATAATTAACTGTACTTTCAATTGGTATAAAAATGAGCATTTCATAGAAGTATACACGATACCTTTTACTGATGGATTCAAGATACTGCGCAGTGCCTTCGTGGCCAAAAGCTCTCGCAACATCTTCTGGTAATAGCGAATTACACCTGTATGCATTAAAGACTACTCTTCCAGCTGATGAATTGAAGATTAATTCAATGAACTGCCGAGCATCAGTTTCTGCTGCTGTATACACCAACAGCATTAAGCCTTGAAGTGAATGTAAAGGATTATCTGAATCCATGGGCCCTATGAAAGGAATTTTAATGATTAACCTTGGATGCAATAAGATAGCAAAATGGTGTCCAAACAATTCGCTTCCAATCATTGGACAATTTGTCACCAATCTCAAGACAAATAAGCACTCTATCCAATTTGTGGCTTACATGTTGTTGTAGTGAAAATTTTACACCTCTTCCGCTTAAAAGATATTTCGATTTGATTTCCCGTACTTTCCCAAAAGAAACTATGGGGGCTTGTCGTGTCCACCACTAAAAACAGTTTCACTGCCAGAAACTTAATCACTGGCACTTGTCTAAGTTTCGTCTGTTATATCTGTTATTCAATTTATACCACTGATCGTGCGAGCGTAAGTGTTGGTCTCGCCTTTCGTTCTTGAATTTTACAGCTTCCTTCTTATCTCACCAAATAATAAATTTCTACAATTGCCGTTATGTGCACGAATGACCAACAGATGTCCGCTAACAAAGCATATTTAAAAATAGACTCCCGAGTACGATATATGGCACGCAACAAAATGTAACAACAAGCAGTTACCCATTTTAACTATTATTTAATTAGTTTTACACTGTCTAATATACTTAGGTTAAAGATTAAGTTAAGCAGTTCGTAAAGCAGGCTTACAATCCTTCATGCCGTACAAGTATCCATCGTCTTGATCAGCTTCAAATTCCAACTTCTACCGACTGAAAACCACAACGCTTCCTGGCATTCTTTCGTCTACACAAACTCTTCCGGAGGACTTCATAGTGAACTCTAAATTCTTTATCTTCTTCCTTTCTCGGCTATAGTCTTTTTCTTCTCTTTCTTCTCTCCGGATATCGCAAGGTCAAAAGGTCGTAGCCTCGTCACATCATAGCTTCCAAAAGTTCAGTCAGCCGGCCACGAGGGTAAGCCTTCGGGCAAATCTTTTTTGTACTTCTCACAAGCCAGCTTTTATACATTTACATTAGGTATCTAGAATGTTCTATTACTATTTATAGCGTATTACAAGTTGTACTATTTTTGGAAACTGCTGAGTCACATGAAAGAAGTTTCTGGTATAGTACAGATTAAAGATAATTGTAGAAAAGTCTGGGATTGCGTGACAGATTCAGTGAGATTAATTCGATCCTCGTAACAACAATAAAGCAGTACATTTGACTAAGCTACCTTTAAATTGAGTGACGGGAAAAATGTATCTCCCCATAGAACCCAACGCGCTCTATATGGATTCAAAAGACCACAAAGTACTGTACGTGTTTTATAAGAAAATCAAGGTTAGGACTATGAAAGACGTCCTGCCGTTTCCCATTCTTACCAGAGCTAGGGGATTTCATCGTTGTTACTCTGCTAGCAGTGGAGTATCTTTCAGGAGGAGGTTTCCATGTTTCGAAAAATTCGCGAAACTGCTCTACATTCTTGACTATCTCCTCAAGGGCCTTTCTGCGTTCATCAAAGTAATAAATTTTTGTCTCTCCAAGACCATTGCATTTACCAGTCTTGTCATTTTTTCCCACCACTCCCACGGTGACCCAACCTTCTTTTTCAGCAGCTGTAAAAATCAAAATGCATATCTTGAAACCATTAATAATACTGTGCAAAATAATGATGGTATCAAAATTATTTCATTCAAACAAGCTAACAAACTGTAGTTTCAAGAAAAAGGAAAAAGTGTCAACTCGTGCAAGTCTCAGATGTAAAAGACCCCCTGTCTTTTTGGCTCATGAAACAGATAGTCTTAAAACTTTGCGAGTCAGTTAGAATTTGCGGTTAAGTTTCAAAAACTTTCCTTTCCCTTTGAAAATTGATTTCTCTGCATACCTCTAAGGGACCAGCTGTCTCAGTATCATAATCTCAAAACAGTGATCTCAGATGCGACCGAAGGCCTGTGACTTACTTTGACAAAGGACAGTATTTCAAGTTAAAGGTTTCATAAATGAAGTCTATGCTTATGCACTGTGAACTTTTCTAACTTGGCTTCACAATCTTCTGTTATTCCATCAAGCTTAAATATTAAATGGGGCTGCTGCAGCACTTCCAGACAGCGATACCACTGGATATCAGGAAGCTGCAAATTTGGAGGCTAGGCTACTTTCCAAATCATTTAGATTTTTCTCTTTTCCGCACGGAAGAAAGTGTCACTTCACAGTGACTTCATGTTCCGTAAGCGAGAGAAAATTGAAATATTAAATTGTTGGAAGGCATTAGAGAGAGAAAAAAGATTGATCAGAGATTATTTTGGAATTGGCTGCTGGAAAAAAATTAACATTGACACATGGGTTTAACTCTTTAATTCCCAGTGGTGACCAAGACAGAATTTCTCCTTACAATATCAATACATTTTAAGGTAGCCTAGTGAAATTAAGGACAATAGCAATAGGGGGTTATTACTTGATCCCATGCCAAATTCTCTAAAACTAACATTATAAGAATTAAACAGATTACAGTTAGGAGAATTGCGAGAAAGATCTTGGGATTGAAAGCGTTAAGAAAAGTAAAGGTATCACCAAAAGGAAGAGCATGTTACACCGGCTTTAAGTCTACGAGTAAAGCTGCAGGTATGTTACACCTAACCAGGTGTTGTTATGTTTGTGGAAAAATTAATGGATATAAGAAGAAAATCAGTCAATTTTCGCGCAAACCCACAAAGTAACTTCACTGCAAAGTTTCCCAGAAACTAATTTCATTATCAAGAACGATCATGAGGACATTATAAACATAACCTCTATATGTACTTTAAACATTGCTTTCCAATTCCTTCTTGACTGGAATAGCTGAAGGAGTAGGCTAAGGTAACTCTACAATGTGCATTTCTTACTACTCACGAGTTTTGCAGCATCCTTCACAGCCCTTCCTATCCTAACATTAGCTCCCAATGGCCTTAAAACAATATACCTGTAACTGTGTATTTTGAAACGAGTATTTATCTCTTAAAGATTGACTAAATATCTTTTAAATTAATGTTTATAATCACTTTTTAACAAACCTTAATGATTTGATTCAGCTCTCTCCTCCTTGAATTTGTTTTGTTGAAAAGACCTCAATTGTATAAATAGATGCCCCTATGGAGTTTGCACCCCTATTCCAACGAGTGCCCCTAATCTGTTTCGGTGATAGCACTGTTCAAGTGCATGGTACATTCAGATTAACCATGGCTAATCTTCCTTAATCTCCCTCGCTAATCTTTCCTTAAAGCCTCATTAAAAAAAAAAAAAAAACAGTTCTCTTCATCTCAACCTGACAACACTGGTCTCCCCTACTTCTTCCAAATGAATTTAGAAAGAATTCAATAAAAATGTAGCACTTATTTATGTGTATACCACATCAAAAGTACTAATCAAGACAACTTTACTTACGAGGAATTCTTCTTCCAACAAGACGGTTTGCATGGTTTTTAACACCATCCAGTGTAACAACACCCCCAGGGTTGCAAACAAACTTTGCAGTTCCAGAAGATATATCTAAGGGCAGGTCAGGTATAAACAAGAAACAGCAAGGTACTCCTCCCTATTTAGGTAGAATTACAATTTCACTTTAACTTTATTGTTAATTTTCAAGAAACATTCACTTGTGATTGTCATTATCTACTTCATAATTGTACAAACATGGGAGGTTGAACTGATTTCAGCTTCTATCATAGCTAATCTGTACAAAAATACAGACCACAGCCAGAGAGAAAAAAACTAACTCAGCAAGCAAAGGAAGTCCTCTTAATTTTACATCTTCAAATCTAAAAGCCACAAGAAACAAAGACGCATGCTTGTAGCTTTTACATTTCCCATATAGTCAGATCAATTAATGGCTTTTAATTTCACGCAGAGTCAGCTCAATCTCTCCACCATTATCAGAATACAGTACTGTTCCTTCTCTATGAATATGGTCAGGTTTGAATGAGAAAAGAATGGACACTGTCTATCCTACATAAAAAACACAAAGACAACCTTTTCACAAATTAAAATGTAATAAATAAAAATAACAATTTTTTTTTACCTCCAAAGGAATCCTTGCTGGTTCAATGGTTATGTCATAGCTGCCAATCCCCAATAGATTGAGAGATGAATTTCCTTAATTATGGGATAAATGAAAAAGATTGTCAGTGATTCAGTGAAGAATGATTCAAATGATGGTTCTATACACCGTGGTGTCTACCACTGTCACACACCTGTGAGAAAGAATTGTTAATTTTCTTCCTCTAGCTCACTTATACAAACAAACCAGTAGTTTCTCAAAATGTAATCAGAATTATCAAAGATTCTTATCTGTTCGGGAAAAAATTCCCCTGCGAACTTTATTGTGTTTAGGGAAACTAATTAGCAAAAATTCCAGCGGATTGTTACGCAACACCATTTATTTGTTCGCAAGGTGTGACAGTTTCGATATATATAAGATTCAGCATAATTAAGAGTCAAGCTGTTATTTTCGAAGAGATCGAGGACTACGTTTCGTTTAATAAAGGTTGACTTGTTCTGCGAGACATTTGGCGACCACGAAGGGACATAGCTTTCAGGAAAAGATGCCAAGACTTCGATCTCATAGTCGACAGCGAAAGCTGACGCCGAGTTTGTATCCTCAAGATGAGAAATTAGAAGACCAAGATGCTGCGAGTTTGAATGAAATCAAAGATTAGAAACGAAAGACCAACTATGAATTGGATGCGCTCTTCACTCAAATTAATTACCAGTTGTACAAAGCGGATTTCAACATGGTTTCCATCCGGCAAACGCAAGATAGACTGGTGAAGGCAAAAGAGAAGATATTCAGCATTATGACAGAGTTGCGAGGAGTTTACCGAACACGTGGGCAGCATAGGAAAGCGGACGACGTGGAAGTTGACAGTGATTGGAGTGGAATACTCATTTCTGCACAGTTCAAAAGCTGACCAAGGTGGACCAGTGGCCAGGCCTGAACCACTGAGGCGGACCTGTATCGGAAGTCCAAACGGTCCAAAAGGATTTTGCCAAAAAAGAGCAAGTTTCCTGGCTACACCTTTCGTGCACCCAAACATGTTTGACGAGATCAATGCAAATTCGAAGAAATTCTGGGAGGTAGAGAACTCTGCTGTAAATGTCAACAAACAAAAAATTTTAACACCTGATGAAAAGAAAGCACTCAGCAAGGTTCAGAATTCTCTAAAGTTCGTGGATGGAAGATACCATTTAGAAGTACCCTGAAAGAATGAAAGACCTCTGCTTCCTGACAATTACACCAGGGCATTGAAACGTCTAGAAAACATTGAGCTGAAGTTGCTAAAGCACCCAGAAATGGCACAGGACTACCAAGCAACGAAACAGCAGAAACAGTCCTAGAATCCACCTACATGGATGATTCAGTGGATTCCACCGTCGATGAGCAGAATGCTATTGATCTGTATCATCAATTATCAAAGCTTTGGGAGAAGGCCGGTATGCATGCCCAAAAATGGCTCAGCAATTCTACCCACGTCTCGAAAGAAGTTTCCCCAAGAAGATCGTGTCAGCAAAGTTGACTTCAATTATGAAGATCTTCCGTCAACCGAAGACTCTTGGAGTGGTCTGGATCGCGGAAACTGATGTGTTTACATTCAACACCAGACCTCCCCCAACTGACCTTCCTTTGACTAAAAGAAATGCGTTGAAGAATGTAGCCCCCTTATTTGATCCTCTTGGTCTCGTAACGCCCTACACTATCAGAGCCACGATATTGTTACAAACCATGTGGACTCGTGAATTGGACTGGGATGAAGGTATTGGCAGAGATCTGACGGAGCAAGTGCAGCAATGGTTTAGCGAACTAGACCACTTGAAAAAAGTACAAGTGCATCGTTGTCTGCAACCCTCGACAGGCCCAGCTGAAACAACCATCCACACATTCATACATACCTCGAAAGATGCATTTGGTGGTGTCTCCTATGTAAGAAATACTCAGCTAGATGGAGTCATGGAAACCAGGTTTATCGCTTCCAAAACCAAGGTTGCTCCATTGGCGACAATGAGTATACCAAGATTAGAACTATATGTGGCTGTGATGGGATTAAGACTCGCTCAGTCTGTGTCGAAGGTTCTACAAATGGCAATTGGTTGTGCCATCTTTTGGAGTGACAGCACTAACACATAGTGGTGGATAAGAGGAAATGGATGGCGTTTCGAACCCTTCATAGCCAATCGTGTTAGTGAAATTCAAGCTCCGTTCAATGACGATATGTATCGACCAGCCTCAATCCAGCAATCCAGCCTCAATCCAACCGCCTCCCGGTTAGCTCAATGGATAGGGCGCTGGACTGTAGTGCGGGAGGTCGAGGGTTCGAGCCCCGGCCGGACCAACACTCAAGGTCTTAAAATAATTGAGAAGAATTTGCTACCTTTCTATAACATCAAGAAATGGTTAGATATTCTAGTCTTCTCGGATAGGGACGAATAAATGGAGGTCCCGTCTCCTGCAGGGTTGGGGCAGGAGACGTTAATTTCCCACACACGAGATTACTGTGTGATGGATGTCCTCCCCTAGGGTGGGATGGGTGGTTTAGGACAGCAGGTCCACATCACCTATTACAGCTGCCAATTAAGTAACCTGCTTAAACAAATAAATGAACTTCAACTTCAACTTCAGCAGACCTGTGCACTAGAGGTTCAAGTGCTACACAGCTCGCTGAGAACACGTTATGGTGGCATGGACCATCATTTCTCAAAGAAAGTGAAGAATTGTAGCCAAAAAATAAAGTGGAAAGCAGCTCCTCCACTGATGAAGAATTGAAGAGGTCTGTGAACAGAAATGAAGTTCCTATCGTTCTTTCCTCTATAACAACTAAGCTCACAGAGAAAGACTGGCACCTAGAACCTACGAGATTTTCTAATTGGACCAGATTAACCAGGATCCACGCATGGATACTTCGCTTGGTACAAAATTGTCAGTTACCATCCCAAGTCCGTAAAGAGGGAGAACTGAGTCCACAAGAAATACTAGAGAGTGGAGGAATAATCATCCAAGAAGCACAAAAGGAATCATTCACACACTGACATATGTTTTGTTGATCAAAAGTCAATAATATTTTAATTCATTAATTCGTTTATTGACATTTAATTAGTAATTGACCATGTGATTTACAGCCCATTGCATAATCGCGTAAGGCTGACCTTTGAGTTAATGTGACATTTTGCCGTAACACGCGCTCGAGAGCGATCAGTCTTTTTTTTTTATCGCGCTACCTGAAGTGTCCTGAGAGAATTTTGCTAACCTGTTTCTTGGTACTGGAGTTTTGATTGGATTGCGTCATAGAAGTGAGTAGTGTGTTTGTAATCAGTTGGCATTTTAATATCATCCTTTCGTTTTCCAGCATGAAATTATCAGGAATCGCTTGCTGTTAGATCGCTCAGGAATTACGTATTATTTTTTGTAGATCGAATAAAAACCAATTAAAAGGATTATACGATTCCGTGTCCAATCAATTACTCGCGGGCCATTTTTCTCCATGATCCAACATCTAAAAAGCCGATCTTGAAGTCAAGCAAGATCATTAAACTCACCTTAAGACTGGAGGTGGATAGAATAATTCGCTGTGATGGAAGACTGCAGTACACAGAATTTTTACCTTTTGATGTTCGATTTCCCATTATACTCCCACGTGGACACTGGGTCACAAAGCTTATTGTTAAACAACACCATGAGCTTGGAAATCACGTGGCTGGAACCAATCATACGTTAGCTAACTTGTCTGCCCGCTACTGGATCGTGTCTGCATGAGAAGAAATCAGAGAATGGGAGAACCAGTGCAATGAATGCAAGAAACGAAAAGGAAAAGCTGCCTCGCAAGTGATGGGTTCACTCCCTAAAGTACGTCTTCGATTCGCGATGAGAGTATTTTCCCAGACAGCTGTTGATTATGGGCGGCCATTCATCACAATCCAAGGCAGAGGAAAAGAACGTCTGAAACGATGGCTTCGCTTATTCACTTGTCTGGCTTCTCGAGCAATACATTGTGAAATGGCTTTTGGATTGGATACGGACAGCTGCCTGAATGCTTTTGCAAGGATGGCTTACCGAAGAGGATTGCCCCAAGAAGTAGTCAGTGATCGAGACACTAACTTCGTTAGCGCAAATAGAGAACTCAAAGAGCTTGTTGAGAAACTAGATAAAGTTAAAATCTGTCAGAGAACTGCCAACCGAGGGGTAACATGGATCTTCAACCCACCTCAAGCGCCTCATTTTGGCGGAGCCCACGAAATAATGATCAAAGCCGCTAAAAAGGCCATCCATGCAGTTCTTGGAGAAGCAAACGTCATTGATGAAGAACTAATGACGGCCTTTATTGGCGCGGAATCTCTCCTCGATTCAAGACGGATAACGTATCAAACAGCTAATCCATGTGACAAAACTCCTCTTACACCCAACCATTTCCTCTATGGACAAGTCGGAGACATTTGCCCCTGATTCAGTTGACGAAACAGAATTTCAACCAAAGAAACGCTGGCGGAGGGTCCAAGAACTCATCTTACATTTCTGGCGTCGTTAGCTCAAGGAGTGGCTACCAAGCCAAAATGTACGATCGCAGTGGAACGAAGAGAAAAGAGATTTGAAAGTGGGAGATGTGGTGCTTGCCATCTCCAGTGACCCACCAAGAGCCCACTGGCCGCTTGGAAGAATCACCGAAATTTACCAAGGGAAGGACAATCATGCTCGAGTTGCTAAAGTCCAAGTTGGGCAAAACTCACTCTTAAGTCCCATTAACAAGCTGATCCATCTGGACGTTGTTTGAAGAAATGGAGTCTCTTATGAAGCAATCGTAATGAACACTGTTAATATTTAGAGCTTTAAGTGTGGACTTAAGAAACTTTACTTATTGAATTTGCTTGTGAACATTAAAAACAGTCCGCATGAGACATTGACACGCGCGAATGCCTGTCAAGGAGGGGGAGAATGTTCGGAAGAAAATTCGCGTGCGACTTTATTGTGTTTAAGGAAACTAGGATAGTTACGCAACACCATTTCTTTATTCGCAAGGTGTGACAGTCTCGGTATATATAAGATTCAGCATATCTAAGAGTCAAGCTGTTATTTTCGAAAAGATTACAAGGACTAAGATTCGTTTAAT